TCTTAGGACTCTTTCAAAGATTTTTATGATATGGGATGTTAGTGCTATCGGTCTGTAGTTCTTTGCTGTTACTTTACTGTCCCCTTTGTGGAGTGGGGCTATGTCTGTTGATGGAAAGCATGAAAACAAAATGCAAGGAGGCAAAGGAGAGGTTTGTACCCAAGGGTGACAGAAACAATAGGAAGACAAGAACGAGCCCTAGGTTCACCCAAAGATGTAGAGAGACCAAAACTCAGTATGCTAGAGAATGGTAAAAGCATAGAAGACAAAGGACCCAGGAAAATAAGGAGATTAGTCGAAGAGCCAGAAACGAATATGCACAGATAAGGATGGAGGCCCATCGGAAGCCAAATCTGACCCAAAGCTGTTGTACAACCACATCAGGAGGAAAACAACAGTCAAGGACAAGATAATCGGGCTGAGGAAGGAAGGAGGGAAGATCGCAAGAAATGACCAAGAAGTGTGTGACGAGCTCAACACAAGATTTAAGGAGGTATTTTCAGTGGAGACAGAACGGACTCCAGAAAGCCAGACTAGTGGAGTACACCAACAAGTGCTGGATGCAATACACACAACCGAGGAGGAAATGAAGACGCTGCTAAGTTAACTAGATACCTCAACAATATCTCTCCGTGGGTCCTGAGAGAGGGAGCAGAGGAACTGTGTGTGCCACTCACAGCGATCTTCAATACACCTATCGAAATAGGGCAACTGCCTGAGGTGTGGAAGACAACAAATGGAGTTTACCTGGAGAGAGTGCCGGGGGTCAACGCCCCCGCGGCCAGGTCTGTGACCAGGCCTCATGGTGAACAGGACCAAAATGTTTCAGAGATGGGACACAAAAATAAGGGGAGACAACTGGAAGTTTCAAACTCAGATGAGTAAGAGTGATGTCAGGAAGTATTACCTCAGCCTTAGAGTTGTCAGGAAGTGGAAAAATCTGGAGAGTGAGGCAGTGGAGGCAGGATCCATACATAGCTTTAAGATGAGGTATGATAAGGCTCTTGGAGCAGGGAGAGAGTGGACCTAGTAGCGACTAGCAAAGAGGCGTGCCAAGAACTGTTAATCGACCCCTGTAGCCACAAACAGGTGAGTACAAATACATTAGATTCAGATTAGATTTTGCCACCGAAGTGGCTAGTTTATTGTGCATCCCATAAACATCCTGTGGACGGTAGCGCAAGAGCATATGGATACACAAAAGGCCCAAGAACGAAGCCCCAAAAGGGTTAACAGGTGTACATATGGGTTTTTATTTATCTACATATCTACAGTTCACTTATCTGTTACAAGCAAATTTAGGAAATTTGCTTAGTATATCTGGTATCTTATTTTCATTAATAAGATATCTTGACATGTCACATTGGTTATTATATTGTCTGTCTCTGTATTCCTCAATAAACGGACAATTAAGCACATAGTGTTCAAGACAGTGACCATATGCCTGATCACATAATTTGCATTTAGTTTGATCATCTGTGTGTCTCCCAAACTGCCAAAAGTACTTGTAACCAAGCCTAAGCCTGGCCACTACAACATCAGTCAGTCTGTTCACACTGCAAGTTGCTCTATAGGTCTACTCAGGCTTCTAACTGCATTCCTATAACAATCATTTTCGTTATTTACTTCTCTCCTAATATTCCTAATGCTAGACACAGATATACCTAAGTTATATTCTACATTCTCCTTCTGGGTACTCTTCTTGGCTAACATATCAACTTTATCATGAAGGAGTAATCCAATGTGTGATGGGATCCATAGCAATTGTACATTAATTCCTTTGTCCCTGATTTTTGAGTATCTATACCTGGCTTCTCCAATGAGCATGTTGTTGGAGTCATTATATGAGTCAAGAGCCTTCAATGATGACATAGAATCAGTAATGATGACAGAGTCAAGCTCAGTGTCATAGGTTAGCTTTAGCGCCATTAGGATTGCAAGCAATTCAGTTTGCAGTGTAGACGCCCAGTTGTTAATTTTTATGCCTAACTCAACAAGTTTATTATCGTTCTTAACTAGGGAGGTGGCAACAAGAGCAGATGCAGCCCTGTCAGAAGACTCCTGTTTAGATCCATCAGTGTATATAAATTGTGATAACTTATTACTACCAGCTAGACGAGAAATTTCTTCTTGAGCAGTTGCTTTAACAAGTGATTTAAGGAAGGGATTACTAGTAATGAGCTTCTTGGGAGGGACTTGCAGGTATGTGATATTAAATGAACACATCTTCCATGGAGGGGTGAAATACTCTTGTTGCCTACAGTGATACAGTTCATGCAGGTTATAAAACTTAATGCAATTGCACGTTTTCACAATCCATTTAGATCTGTGTGTATTTATCTCTAGACACTTGGTAAGATTCATTGTGACAGTGTCTGGTTCATTTATTAACATTCTAATACCGAGTACAGTGTTAATCTCAACAATCCTATCACTGATACTAGAAATACCAAGCTCCTTCCTCATATTAACCCTTTGTAGATTTGGGACACCCAAGAATAATTCTGAGAGCTTCATTTTGCATTAACTCTAAGGGTCGGAGAGAACTTTCTCTAGCTAATACCAACATGGGAGCAGCATAATCAATTAAGGACCTAACATAGGCTATGTACATCATTCTCACGATTCTCACATTAGCACCATAGTTGGGGTTGTAGCTAGCAACAGCTTTGAGAGCATTTAGCCTATCTTTGCATTTCTTATTTAGTTGTGATATAGTGGATTTGTTAAAGGATACATCTACACCTCAACATCAACGTAGCTAATGCTTTCACCCTGCAAATAGATGGGTGGGGGATGTCGTTTGCTTGTTAATATCTTTGTTTTAGAGGAAGATATTATGAGGCCTAGTCGATTACAAATTGCTTTAACTTCGTTAAGAATTGTACTCATCTTCTTATGCCCTATTGTATTTATTTATTTATTTATTTATTTATTTATTTATTTATTTGAACATGATACAGAGAAGTACAAAGGAATACAGCTATTACAGTGCAACATGCCAAAACCCCTTGTATGCAGAACATTATGGGCAGGCTTAAAATTAACTTAAGATTAACTAAGCAATGATATATTCAGTGGTAAAAACATTATTGTAAACAGATAACAATTTAGCACAAATGAGTATTACAAAGACAGGTCATATGGTCATTTACTGTGTTGCTGAGCATTCAATAGAATGGAGTATTCTGTTAGGTAATGTATTTAAAAAAACAAAGTTTGATTGGGTCACAGGTTAGACATTTATGAGATACAATAATGAGAAACATTTATGAGATACAATTTATGAGATACAATTATTCAGTATTTATTTAGTTGTGGGTGAGTAAGTGATTTTTGAGAAGACCTGGAGTTTACCTGGAGAGAGTTTCGGGGGTCAATGCCCCCGCGGCCCGGTCTGTGACCAGGCCTCCTGGTGGATCAGCGCCTGATCAACCAGGCTGTTGCTGCTGGCTGCACGCAAACCAACGTACGAGCCACAGCCCGGCTGATCAGGAACTGACTTTAGGTGCTTGTCCAGTGCCAGGCTTGAATTTATAAACAGACAGTGTTTCTTTTATTTTCACAGGTAATGAATTCCAGATTTTAGGACCTTTTATGTGCATTGAGTTTTTGCATAGCGTGAGATGGACACGAGGAACATCAAAGAGTGATCTGTGCCTTGTGTTATGGTCATGTGTTCTGTTGAGGTTGGTAAGGAGACGTTTGAGGGGATCATGATGTCATCAGCATAGCTTATAGCTATATGTTTAGGTGAGGCGAGTAGTGAATTTAGGAGAGCATTAATCAGCGGTGTACCTAAAGACATTTCTTTAGAATCACTTCTGAAGCCTTGGTAAAGGACAGGGGATACTCTATTTGAAAGGTATCCTATTATCCAGCAGAGTAAGCTACCACCAATATTCATTTTGGCTAGTTCATGTAGTATAACGGTTCTGTTCGCAATATCAAATGCAGATTTTAGATCAAGAAAAGTGGTAAAACTAGTAGAGGTGTGTGCAGTGAGAAAGGTGGAAATACAGTTCTGCACACTTTTACCTTTCATGAACCCATAGAGGTAGGGGGAAAGTTGATGTCTGATTCTGTAGTACAATCTGTTAAGCATCATTCTTTCAAAAGTTTTGCAAAGACAACTAGTTAAGGAGATCGGCCTAAATGTATCAGGCTGTTGGGGCTTAGGGATAGGCACAATGAGACTATTGGTCCAGGGAGTAGGAAGAACGCCCTCAATGTAATTGGTATTATACAGTGCCAACGAAGGGTTATCAGGCACTTGCCTTAAAGTTCTGAGAATATCATAGGTTATACCATCCTCTCCAGGAGCAGTTGATCGACCTTTAGTTAATGCATTATCTAGTTCATACTCGGTGAAGAGGCAATCACTCTCGTCAATATTTTGGCTCAAAATTAATCAGTTTCAACATTTCTGCAGAAGCACTCTCTAAATGTTTTTTAATATGAGATGAAAGGTTTTCATGCCAGGACGTTTTGGACCAGTCATTTATGAGGAGCACAAATAGGTGAGTACAATGTAGTCATTACATCAGTTGACGGGATGAGATACATGAGTCACGTGAATGAGGTTACGCCATATTGTGTTGCTCTCTTTTTGACCATCTCTGATGTAAGCCTGCCGTTTTTCGGGACGACTTTCATTTTTTCTCTCTCCTTACTCAACTGTTGGGTATTTTGGTCAGAGCGCCAACCAAAGGGGAACGAGATTTTTTTTTTTAACCTTCATCTTCCTGCACCATCTCCAGGAGATGCTAAATTTCCCCGGTGTTAAGAATGGACCGGTCACCAACTACTATGGTTAAAAGGGCTGTTAACTTCATGCTCAAGGACACATTTTCGGAGGCGAAAATGTGGCCTTGATCATCTTTCCTAGATGAAAACACTTCTTTCATTTTCTTCTGTTTCCCCTTCTTGATTCTAAAGATATATTAACCTGAGGGACCAGGAGTAAGACAATATACAGTTGGTGCTGAGACAGCCCTTAGTAACAACAAAGGCAGCAGGTTGACTCAGGAGGCTGGAGGATATACTAGTGAGATTCTCACCCGCTCTTTTTCCTAATTAACACCGTCTTCACTACCTCATTCACAATTTCAAAACGTCAGAGGTTAGGCCACATACAACTGTGTGTAAATGTTGATCTTATTATTCAGATATTGCGTACTTGTGGTGTGGGAAATTTAGTGGAAAGTTGATCTGTAGTGTTCGTCCTCGTTTATTTTTGTTTTTGTTTTTTTATTTGCTGTTGACACACCGTATTTAATAGACAGTGACAACTGTCTGATTATCTTACCATTGCTTGACCTAATTGAACCATATGAACGAGTAGCACAAAACTAACAGGTCACTGTAGGTATGGTTTAATATGGTGGCATTAAAATACCCCGTCAGCCTCACCTGTTTATAAATAAATGTACATATGGAAAAGTGCATATCTTCACATTTATGTATCTTGATGTACTGTATTACAAAGGAAAGAAAAACACAAAATAAAATATAGTATAGACAATACATTTCTATATTGGGTAAGCGATAGTTATATATTGTTGATACCAGACAGTTCATTACTATTATAAGTTAGCTAGCAGAATATTGAGGCTCAGTCCCTGTATGTATGTATATAACATATGTATGTATAATAACTTTCAATAATACCAACAGCATAGGTCTGGAATGAATAAACTTTTTAATTATTTTGAACAACTGATGTTATTTTTATGGTATTTTTCAACCGATTTGACTACAACTTTTGTGTTTTCCTGACATGCTAATTCTCTGGGATTCACATGCCAGTGAGGCCTCTCAAGTCGTCAAACATGTACACTATATGTCATCCCTTAGATCAGTGGTACATCATTTGGCTCCTAAATGAAATGTTCCCCCTGTCTTATGGGCTGACCTTATGGGCCTGCATTATTGCCACTCTTTACCTAGCAACAAACATCGACTTATTAATTTGTCGACTGTTGTGGGTCACTTCCAAAGAAAGAGAGCTAAAGACAGCCAATAGAAATAGGACACATTGCTTAGTTATCTTAGATTTTCCTAGGTTAATGAATCTGTGAAGTTAATATTAAAAAAATTTGTTAATGCTTATCAAATTGTAGTAGACCCAAGTTCTCTAAAGTTTTGCTAAGTCAAAATACATCTGACTTAAACATACACAGACGGTTGGTTACATCGGCTGAAAATTAGTATTTGCTGCATTTCAAATACTGGAATCATATAAATGCTATGCTGGGTGGGCATTGCTTAATGAATCTCTAACATCAGTTCACAAAAATACCCAGGATGATCTGCTATCCATGGACCATCCAGAGCATACATGTAGTAATAAGGTTACCAATGTGACTAACATTGACATGTATACAAATGAGACATCTGGTATTAGGACAATTATTGAAATGTTTTGCTGACCAAGGGTGGTTTATCAATTTGATACAGAGAACATAAAACACAGTAGACTATGAATCAGGTTAAAATTGTAATGAACAATATGACAGTGGATATACTAAACTTTCCTGTTAACACAATAGGATCTGTAAAGTAAAAGGACACAAGTGCAACTAATGTGACATTTATTGTGGCAACGTTTCGCTCTCCAGGAGCTTGATAAAGCTCCTGGAGAGCGAAACGTTGCCACAATAAATGTCACATTAGTTGCACTTGTGTCCTTTTACTTTACATATTGTCGGTAATTTTACCAACTTTATTACACAATAGAATCTGTTGCCCATAGGATCTATGTTGACCCCTTACAGTAGACTAGTGGGTCATGTCAGCCCATGCTGCACCTAACTTCTCAAAATAATACTGTATGTTCTCCAGGCATGATAAAGCCTTGATGAGCCAGTTGTCTCCTAAATAAATGTCCTAATACCACTTGCATAATAGTGGGGGTTGTGGTGACATTAGCAATAGATATATAACAGCAGAAATCTGCCCTTATTGTTAATTATCCATGGCTAGTTTCCCATACAGCATGGTAATTGTTCACCTCCCTTTCTAAGCCACTAATGTGGTCTGAAAGAGGGGAGGGTGGCAAAGAGCTTTTGCTATAATGTACTGATCTCAGCTATATAGACAGAATTAGAAGTAATTAGATCAAATTTAGTCTTCAGTAGATAGCTCTGATATAGATACCTATCCTGTATTCTCCACTCCAGTCTCTGTCCCTTCTCTTCTATCCATCCCTTCTCTTCTCTTTCACTCTTTTTCTCCATCACTCTTTTTCTCCATCCCTCTCTTTCTCCATCCCTCTCTTTCTCCATCCCTCTCTCTTTTTTTTTTTTACACAGGGTTTGACAAGGTTAAGGATCCCTAGCCTTATTAACAACCTATTTACAGGTTAAGGATTCCTAACTTTATTGACAAGCTGAGAGCTGTTACCTACATCAGCTCATTTGAAAGCATTTTTATTGTTATGAGACATACAAGTAGGGAACAGGATGAAGCTGGAGCCATCTGTGGGCCAGCATTTTCATTTGATCAACTGACGTTATCTCGTTGACATCATTATGCTGTGCGAATGTGTTCCATACTCGAGTCATCCTGGGTATATATTATCTCAGATGGAGTGATATTCTGGAGAAGGGTAAAAGGCCGAGGTGAAGTTGCTGCTTTCTGCCCGTTTTTGGTGGCATAAAAGCTTGTTTCACGCTGTCCTCGAAGTGGATCCAAGTGTGGTACTTTGAAAATATTGGGCCCTTGTACATAACAGTAAGGCCACCCACATCCCTCCTGTGTTGAAGGCTCTGCTGAAATGACAGATCTATCCAGGATGGGTCCAGGCGAGGGATGAGACGTCTTGCTCTGTTCTCCACTCTGTCAAGCAGTCGCAGATGAGAGGGGGGGCGGGGCAAACCAAGAAATTGGAGCTACTCAAGGTGTGAGCTTTACTTTTTACCTCGTACAGAATCTTGTAACCCCTACTGTTCAAGCAGATGCGAGCTACAGCGAAGTGCTGTAAGCTTCCTGGCTGCCTTGTTTGCTAGATTTACAACATGGTTCTTCATGGTTAGTTTGGGGGTTCAGATTTCACCCCAAGGATATCAACTTTTTCCCTCCAGGTCCCAACACCCTCCCATTCATCCTTATACTGCACCAGCTTTTACCATCATGGTGCCAGAGCGATCATCATTTGCGTTTTCTCAGGTGCAATGTTATTTTGCCATCTATTTCCCCCAAGCTGATATAGCTCTTAGCTGGTGATTGATGTAGCTTAGAGCAGCTGGCATTTCTTCTCTTGGATAAGGGAATGTCTGTACAGTCATCTGCATATGCATTGGATTCTGAGATGAGATAAAGAAGGTCGTTGAAGTAGACATTCCATAACAATGGTCCCAGCACACTTCCTTGTGGAACACTTGCCCCAATAGGATGTCTTGCTGATTCCGTTCTATTGAGAACTACACTTAAAGATCTACCATGAAGGTAAATACTGAGGAGACATAGTGTAGAGCCTGCAATTCCCAGTGCTTGACGTTTTGCTAAGAGGCCCTGGTGCCACACCCGGTCGAAAGCACCAGCAATGTCCAGTGCTACCACACGGCTGACTTTGGATTCATCCAGTGACTAGTGCCACTTAGTGGAGAGGTTTAACAACAGTCAGCAGCAGAGTAACCTTTCCTGAAGCCATACTGACGATCACAAAGTAGTGAGTGGTAGTCAAAAAACTCTGTCATTTGTCTTGAGATTATTGTCTCAAGGATCTTACCAGTGATTGACAGGAGTGACACTGGTCTGTAGTTGCTGATTTCTGCTCTGCTCTTCTTTTTGTGAACAGGGACTACATTTTCTCTTTTTCCATAGGAGGGCCATTTACACTGTACTAGGCAGTGCTGAAAGATGCGAGTTAGAGGTGCTGCTAGCTGGTTCGCACATCTTCTCAGCAATCTTGGGCTCAACTTGTCTGGGCCCCCAGCCTTTTCTTGGTCAAGCGATTTAAGGGAAAGGGAAAAGCACCTCCTCCTGCCTTATTGTCACCCCTGACGTTTTGGGCACAGTTCTTGCAGCTAGCCAAGGAGGGTCCCTTGCTGGATCAGGAACTGCATTTTAGTAGCAAAATGTTCAGCAAAGAGGTTTCCCCCTTCTCTTGACTGCTAGTAGAGGTGGTCCCATCCTGTCGATTTAGAGGTGGAATGAGTTTTATCAGGGAGTAACCTTTTCTGTCCTTGACCAGGGACCACCAGGTTTTGGAGCCCACCCTACCTGATGCTAGCTTTCTTTTCGTGTCCACCTCCCATTAGCAATGGCCCACTTTTGAACGCACCCATATGTCTACAGGCTTGCTGTGCAAGTTCCTGTTATAGGTGGTAGGATGTCTCTTATACCTTCGCCATGCTTTGGGACTTTGCAGTAGCAGCCTCTTACAACGAAAGCCAACCAAGGCTGATCCGTAGGCTTTGTCAACATATTGCCGTGAGGAATGTGTTTTTGTTGTAGATTAAGGATGTGCCCATTTGAAGGCTTTCACTTGGTTGTAAAACATTCCCTTGAAGAAGAGCTTTCCCAAATTGGTGGTGGCAAGTCAGACGAAGGGCTGGCCAATTACCTTTTTCCCCAAAAGCCAGGTTGTGCATGTGGACTCCTCACCTCGTTCTGTTGGGATCTTAAGTGTCGTAAAAAACAGCTTTGTGGTCAGACGATCCAACATAGCCAGGGGTTTGAAAAGTGACTATGCCTTCTGCCAGATCACTCACTACTGGGTCAAGGGAGGAGCCAGAGATGTGAGTAGGGAAATCAACAAAGTTTCTCATGTCAAACACTGCAAGAAGGTCATCAAAGTCCCTCTATATAAGGTGCTGGTTGGGTCACCAACAATTATGTTTTGTTTACAGTTGTGTTTTGAGCAGAAGGGAGTCAATATTTTCCATTAGGAAGTTGATGGGATCTGCATGTTGCCACTGGGGTCTGTACATTGCACATGCTAGTTTCAGAGGTACAGTGTTTATGCAGAGCTTGAAGAACATCATTTTAATATGTGTAGGGGTGGCAACATCAATGTGCTGGGCATGAACACTTTTAGAGAAGCACACAGCAACACCTCCTCCTTGCCCTTGCCTGTCTCTTCTCATCCATGAGGTGTACCAGCAATTCTTGCAAATT